ACCAGGATTGAAATAAGCTAAGTATCTCTATGAAATAGAAACAGAAAAAATTGAGGAAGTAGAGCTGGAACCATGCCAACTTCAGAGGTCCTCAAGCAGATAGACTGGCCCAAAGCTTCTGTCTCATCAATCAATGAAAATTTGATAGAAATAACAGCCTTTGATTCAAAAAGAAGGACCAGAGCCAGCATCTGGCTGATATCAACCATCTCTAAGCTGGAATAAAAAATGCTGCTATTATATTAGAGCAAGATGTAGTTATAGATAGAGCCTCAGAATGAGAGTAACTGAACCAACACAGACTCTAGCCCCAGACCTCTGCCCTAATCTCACTGATATTCTAGGAGAGGAATCTTGAAATAAGCTTCCTTTAAAAAGTTTATTTATTTTATATTAAAGGCAGAATGACACAGAAGTCATATTTGAATGACAAAACAAGAAACTGGAAATTAAGATACAGAAACAAAATGTATATACAGAAGAGTTCATTTTTTAAGAAGGAAGAAAAAAAAGTATGCCAAATGGCTAACATGAGAATGTTGATTCACAACTAGACAACACAGTGAGTTTCAGAACACGGAATACAAAAATTCCTTAAACATTTCCACAAAAATTACCTACAACAGAAAGAATAATAAAGTGACAGTAAACTTCTCATAGTGAATAATGGATGTTAGAAGACAATGGAATATTATTTTTCAAATCCTGGTGAAATATTTTTCCACTCGGAATTTTAAAACTATCTGAACTGCAATTCAAGAGTGAAAGAGAAAAGATATTTGCATGGATTCCAAAATGAAATGAATTCACTATTTACACACAAAACAACTAATATTTAATTTAAAAGAAAATACTGGGGATCACCTTTGAGACACACAACACTATTCAACTATTCACATATAATTTAAAAATTGATCATTTGGGGGGTGTTAAAGTATAGTGGATTAAGCTCCCCCCGACCCCCGCAACACTGGCATCCCATATGGGCCTTAATTCATGCTCTGGCTGCTCCACTTCTGATTCATCTCACTGATAATGGCCTGGAAAGGCAGCAAAGGATGGCCCAGGTACTTGGGTCTCTGCCACCCAAAGTGGAAGATCCAGATGAAGCTCCTAGCTCCTGGGTTCAGCCTGTCCAAGCTGTGGCCATTGTGGCTATCAGGGAATTGAACGAGCAGATGGATGAGATATCTCTATCTCTCTCTCTTTCTATCTCTCTCTCCCTCCCTCCCTCCCTCCTTCCTTCCCTCCTTCCTCTTTCTCCCTCCCTCCTTCCTCTCTCTCCCTCTCTCCTCCCTCTCTCTCCTTCCCTCCTTCACTCTATGTTCCCTCTCCCTCCCTCTCTTCCTGGAACTCTGAATTTCAAATAAATAAATTTATTTAAAAATTAGTGATTTGATCATTACTATAAAATAACTAATTTGCATGGTTTATTTGATTTTTGTTGATTTTTAAAATTTATTTATTTGAGACAGTGAGACAGAGAGAGACAAAGGGATAGAGAACTTCCATCCTCTAGTAAAATCCCCATATGTCCACAACAGCCAAGACTGGGCCAGGGTCAAATCTGGGAGCTGGAGGAACTGGCGCCTTGGCTCACTTGGTTAATCCTCTGCCTGGGGCTCCGGCATTCCATATGGGCGCCAGGTTCTAGTCCAGGTTGATCCTCTTCCAGTCCAGCTCTCTGCTGTGGCCCAGGAGTGCAGTGGAGGATGGCCCAAGTGCTTGGGCCCCTGCACCCGCATGGGAGACCAGGAGAAGCACCTGGCTCCTGGCTTCGGAGCGGCGCAACACTGGCTGTAGCGGCCATTTGGGGAGCGAACCAGCGGAAGGAAGACCTTTCTGTCTCTCTCTCTCACTGTCTATAACTCTACCTGTCAAATAACTAAAAAAAAAAAAAAAAAAAAAAAATCTGGGAGCTGGAAACTCTATCCAAGTCTCCCAGGTGGGTGTCAGAGGTCCAAGCACTTGAATCATCTCTGCTGCTGCCCAGAGTCTGCATTAGCAGGGAACTAAGAGTCAGATGCTTGAGTCAGGATGGAAACAGGCACTATAATATAGAACACAGACATCTTAATCAATGTCTTAACCACAAGGCCAAATGCCTACCTCTGATTTTATTTTAAAATGTAACTAGTCAAATTGGCAAGAAGGCTAGTGGTACTAACTAAGCAAGGAAACATCCTAAGGTCCATGAGCTCTTTGTTAGAAAGATAGAAATACTAAAATGTTTAGTAAACTACATAATGCTGTATGTTTTATAAAAGTAAGAATAAGCACTTTCAGAACTACAACCAAACCTTAAAAATGAGCAGAAGAGTATTTAAAAAGAATAGATAGAAATTTCAGTATTTCAACAGAAATTTTAAAGAGAAGCAAATGTAGATTTCTAAAAAAATACAAGCTTTAATAGTAAAAACAAATCCCAATATACCAATCTCATAAGATATTTTTGTATTACAGCTTCCTATATAATAAACAGATTTTTCAGAATGGATCTTAAAACTAAGGCTCTGTGCCACCTAACAGTCACTCCACCTTTATCACTCTTTCCTCGTATCTCCTGGTACATCAGAGGAAATCAGAAAGAACAGGAAAAACACCAGATAACTAATCCTGTGGGTAAATTCCTCTTAGACTCTAAGTTACCTTCTTTAGGACCTCTGTAGCTTGCACCAGTAACTACCCTTCCTACCATAGACCCCAGGATGGCCCTCATTGCTGCCAACTACACAGTTTTACATGAAACAGAGAATTGCTTTGCAATTGACTTCATTGCCTTATTATATACCAAAAACAGCTCAGGAAATCAGAGGGTAGCAGCAGGTTTTTAGCTCACCACAAGAGCCGGCTTTTTTCTCCTGCCGGGGCACAGTACCAAGATAAGCAGCAGTATAAGGTGTGATGAGGTCTTCCACACCCAGTTCTCTTTCAGGGCTTCCTACCCTACTATTGGCCCCATTGAGTCTTATAACAAAAATTTTCAGGCCTACACTTCTTTTTCAAACTTAGAAAGCAGCATTTATTTCCATTGGCCCTATCCAGAAACAGGGTAATTCTGAAAGCAGGAATCCTGATGACCTGTGCCAGTCATGCCACACTTATAATTAAAGGAAAACTGTTCCTTATGTCTTCACAATAGCATAAGCAGGGGAAGATATGCTGATTCTCATATTGAGGCAAGATTGACCTGAGTGTGGAGAAGAACCTAAAATTTAGGTCCCAAAATAAATGCCTCCACAAGTGATTACTGGATTTCCAAGAGTGTTACCTCCATTAAGAAGGAGCTCCCACAATAAAATTAGCTGGAAAAGAGTTTCTTAAAACCCTTCCTGTGGGCTCCAGCCTCTTGTGTCTTAACCCCAGTCCTTGGCAAGAAGAACAGAAAGTGATCCTTTCTAAAAGCTGCAGAAGAAATGCTTTCCTCCCTCCTTCTTCCCCCACCCCTACACACACACATACGCACGCACACACATACACGCACGCACACACTCTCTCTCTCATCTACTGCCAGAAATAATGTTGTCAGACTCTTATCTTCTTGGCCCATTGAAAAACAACTCTAATTCATGACATGAACTCTATAGTTGGTGGAATTACAACTTGAATTATGAACCTTTAAGTAAATGTCATATAGTCTACCTTTTAGCTGTTTGTATGATCACCTAGTCAATCCTGAAATAATATCCAAAAATCATCTCTACAATTTACTTTGTATTGCATTCAAAATGTTTTTGAAAAGTCTAACCATCTAGAACATGTTCTTCCCTTTTTGGTATTTTAATTGGTATGTGTAAAATGGAATTACAATAACAAGACATTAACAACTGTAAGATTTATGATACCTTAAGAATGAAATCTCATTACTTTAACTTAAACTGTACTTTAAGTATTATTTTAATCAGAAACTTTTGAATAAATGTATGTACACATATAGAATATAAATGTACATTCAAATCTGAATTTTTCAGGACTAAAAATAGTAATTTTGAAAATTCTACTATGAATGACAGGTATCTTTATAATAAGCAAGTATAATGCTCCAGACATTTATTTAATTGAATATTGAAATAGGTTAATAAAAACTATTTTACAACTACTTTAGAATCCAGTATTCATATATGAACTTCGTAAATAACCTTGTTATTCACTGAGATCACAAAAATTTAGAGTACAAATCTGTAACCAAGGAGAAAGCATAAATTACATATGTACAACCTCCAGTGCAGCTATGTTATCTCAATGAAGGAGTTATCACTTTGAGAGTGAGACAGGCAACAGGACAGTGTTAATTACTTTAAAAGACGATGATAATAAAGGCACTGATTTGAAAGTGACTCTAGACAGCCTGGTGTCCAATACTCTCATTTTAAATGTCCAGAACTTAAGTCAAAGTGGGGAGGTGATTTGCTCAATAAGATATCTAGATAGTAACTGAAATGAAAATAAGACTTAAATGTTATTGCCTGTTATCCAGAGCTAATTCTATAAATTCACATTGCCTTTGACTCACACAATTACTCCAAGAATCTCATGCATCAGGTACTATACAGATTTAGTTACATGATCACTATCTATGCTGAAAGTTCTTTCCCCCAAAGGAAACCTAGAAGACTTACAAACAAATTGATGAATACACATCCTAAATTGTGCTCTGTGCTTGAAGTTGAAATGACAGGAGAAAGAAAAATTGTCATATACCTTGAATAAAAGACAAAGGAAAGACCCAAAAGATAGTGTACCCTCTAAAGTGCAAGCTAGATGTTGGGAATCAGTATCTCATGGAGAATAACCAGCTGTCTGTCATTCAGCAGGACATGATCTTTAGCATTCTAAAACCATAAAATATTCATGATAACCCCAAAGAAATGAATCAGGAGGTATAAAATGACTTCAATTTCCAACTTTATTTCCCAAAAGAATGGTTATTCCATTATCGCTCAACAATAGTTCATATGCATGCACACATACATGGCGCACACACATCCCAAGGTACTTACTGAGCTGTAGAGATAGCCCTCACCATTCATGGCCACATAGAGGCTGGCCTTCACCCCTTGGATGGCCACCACACGTAGGCCCACAGGAATTAGATTGAAGAGGGCTAGAGAGACAAAAAAGAACATAGAGAGGAAATGATCAACAATCTTTTGAATAAGTTATCTTGTTTTTCACAGCAATTCTTTTGAGAATTTTTTAAAACCTATTAATTGAAATTGGTAAGGAGAGTCCAGGGTCTCTGCTGCTCAGACTGAACACAAATTTAAGCCATGTAACTTTAGATGATTTTTTTTCACCAGATATTTCAGATAAAATAATTCTCAACAGTTAAAACACATAGTTGTGACCATGAGTAATAATTACGTACAGCCTTTGAAATATCTGCCAGGGGCTAGCGCTGCTGCACAGCAAGGGAAACCACTGCCAGAGACACCAATTCATGTCCCGGCTGCTCCATTTCTGATCCAGCCCCTACAGATGGTCTGTGAAAATCAGTGGAAAACAGCCCACGTGCTTGGGCCCTGCTACCCATGTGGGAGACCCAGAAGAAGCTCCTGGCTCCTGGCTTCAGCCTTGCCAAGCCTTGGCCATTGCAATCGTCTGGGGGAGTGAATAAACCTATGGAAGACTACTTTCTCTGTCTCTCCCCGCCTGTCTGTGTAATTCTGACTTTCAAATAAACAGATAAATGTTTAATAAAATAAAATCTATCAGAACTTTCAGTTGTCAGTCTTTTACTTATTGCCTGGAATATGGTCTTGAACACAGAAGATGAATTCAAAAATCACTGACTCATGAATAGCAACACTGGGACAGGACTTTGTTTTGATATTTCAGTTTTCTGCATGCAATGAAGATAGACAGATGATATAAGCCATAATGAATATCTTTTATAACCACAGAAAATGCCTTTATGCACAAAACCATTAAAAAGTCATTCAGAGGGTCGGTGTTGTGGCACAGCAGACTAAGCCGCTTCTTGATATGCCCATATCCCATATCAGAATGCCTGAGTCCTGGCTACACCGCTTCCAAACCAGTTTCATGCTAATGCATACCCTGGGAAGAAGCAGATGATGACTTAAGTTCTTGAGACCCTGCCATCCACATGAGAGACCCAAATTGAGTTTCTGGGTCATGGTTTTGGCCTAGTTCTGCCCCAGTTGTTGCTGACATTTGGGGAGTAAATGAGCAAATGGAAGATTCTCTCTCTCTTTCTCTCTCTCTTTCTCTCTCTCTCTCTTTTGCTCACTGTCTGACTTTCAAGTACATAAATAAACTTTTTTTGCCAAAAGTAACTTGGCGGGGCACTGTGGTGTAATGGGCTAAGCCTCTGCCCGTGAAGCCAGCATCCCAGTTGGGTGCCAGTTCCTGTTCTGGTTGTTCCTCTTCCAATCTAGCCCTCTGTGGCCTGGGAAGAAGTAGAAGATGGCCCAGGTGCTTGGGCCCCCTCACCACAGGTAAGACCCAGAGGAAGCTCCTGTTGCCTCGCTTCAGATTGGCTCAGCTCCAGCCATTGCATCCATTTGGAGAGTGAACCAGCAGATCAAAGACCTTTTTATCTCTCTCCCTCTCTCTGTCTGTAACTCTGTTTCTCAAATAAATAAAATCTTTTTTAAAGTAACTTGGCAAATTTAATTCAACAACCTAAGATAAAGTTAAAAAATGTTTTTATTCCTTAAGTATCTAAATGGTTCCTAATTCAAAATACTCAACAGTCAGGACAGACATTTAGCCTCATTGTTAAGACTCCCACATCCATGACTGAGGGCCTAGGTTTGAGTCCTGGCTCAGCTCCTGATTCCAATTTCTTGCTATTACTCATCCTTGGAAAAAGCAGTAAAGGCTTTAGTACTTGGATCTCTGCCACCCATATAGGGAATCTTAACTGAGTTCCTGGCTCCCAGATTTGACCTAGCCTATTGCCAGCCATCGTGGTTATTTGTGTAATGAACCAGCTTATGTCTGCCTTTGCCTTGCTGCCTCTCAAAAAATTAAATAAATGAATAAAAAACTTAAAAGATAATCAACAAGCTATATGTCCACTTGGAAAATGAATTCATACACCAGACAAAAAGATAAATAAAAAGATAACCTTCTATTTGTTTGACAACACAGTTCTACAAATTATATATCCCAGCACCAGTCCAATTAATTTTGGGATCAAAAAATGAGCATAAGTGGACAACATTCCTTATCTGAAAAAATTTACATCATGTTTGGGAGGAAAGCAACCACATAGTTGAGCTCTATAGCTGGCAACGTGGATAGGATTTAAGTATGTCATGGATGTATGCACTGGAGACCATTTCTGCAACTCACTTTTATATTCTTAGTTAGAAGTTCTTATCTGCCCTTTCCACTACAAAATTTCCATAACGTCCATTCCTCTCAATTTTGAATATAAGATATACACAAAATAACCTAAAAGCTACCATCAATCAGGAATTCCTCTGTTTTTCTGAGGTTCTCTCAACACACACACACACACACACACCTTTTATCTGAGCACACACACACATACTATTCGGCTTTAGTCTTAGAATTGTATCAGCAAATCACATTGAAGTTGTTAAAAACTAATTAAAATTAAAATGGAAAATAGAGAGAGTTGTACAAGATCAAGCTACAGACCATATGTTTAGTGCAGCAGGATTCAATTACTAGCTGGTTGAATCTCTTTACTTCTTGGAACTTCTTTCTTCATTTGTCATGAAAGTTGACACTAGATATTTGCAGTTGTTTGAAAGTTAACAGTTGGCTCAATATAGTTCAGAACTAGTTTTAGTTCTTCCTATATTCTGATCATGATCTCTGCGCTGCCAAAACCCTAAGAAATATTTATACAAGAACTTAAAGTATAGCTTAAGAGAAACCTAGACATACGGAATAACCCGGTAGAGTGTATAATTTACATCTATAATTATATGCTATACACACACACACACACACACACACTGTGTTACACAAGTTCAGGGAAATGTAAGATCTGTGTGACCTGAGGCATTCAGGAAATGCTTCCACAGAAGGTAGGACTTAAGCTGCCACTAAAAGAAAGGGAAGAAATCAAGTAAGCAAGAATGGAAGGACATTTTTAGTGGGGCAGGACATGAGGTGGTTTTGTGGGATGCTCTGTGTGTCTTCTTGAAGATGCCAGCAGACTGAATAACTGATTCAGACTGAGGTGAAATGAAAAAGGACATCATGTAAACAAAGCAAAGACTAATAAGAGAGTCTGTCACTCTAACCCTAGAGATCTGGACTACCAAATGGGAACTAAGGCACACATCATATGAAAACTGGGGCAGCAACATAAATTATAAAAGAGTGAGAGGATGACAGCTGTTTGGCAGCAGGGAAGATGCTGCTTAGGATGCCTGCATCCCATACCAGAATGCATGGGTCCAAGCCAGTTCCACGACAAATCCAGCTTCCCACCAATGCACATCCCAGGAGGCAACAGTGATGGATCAAGTGTGCGAGTCCCTGCTAACCACATGGGAGATCTAGATTGAGTTCTGAAATCCTGGCTTCAGCTTAATCCAGCCCCAGCTATAATGAGCATTTGGGGAGTGAACCAGTAGATGGAAGGTATCAGTCTCTCTGCCTCCGAATTTTAAATAAAATGAAAATAAATAAATGTTTTTAAACAAGTGTGAAAAATATGAAGACAGCATAGTTTCTAAACCCATAACCCAGAAGTATAAGGCTTTGAGCCATTCATTTAACCTTAAGCCCTTAGTTCCTTTTCTGTAAAAGAATATAATAATCCTACCATACAGTCAAGAGAAGAGCTAAACGTCCTATTTGTTATTGAAATGTTCCATACACATAAATGTATCTTTTCTACATAATGATTATTTACCAATAATGTCCTATTTCTCTGTTTATCAAAAAAGGTTACCATGGCAGTAACATAAAAACTGACATATCGAGGGCTAGCACTGTGAGATACTGGGCTAAGCCTCTGCCTGCGGCACCGGCAAACCATGTGGGTGCCAGTTCGAGTCCCAGCTGCTCTTCTTCCGATCCAGCTGTCTGCTATGCCCTGGGAAAGCAGTAGAAGATGGCCCAAGTGCTTGGGCCCCTGCACCTGCATGGGAGACCTGGAAGAATCTCCTGGATCCTGAAAGGCCCAGCTCCGGCCATTGCAGCCATTTGGGGAGTGAAACAACAGATGTAAGACCTTTTGCTCTGTCTCTCCCTCTCTCTAGAATTTCTACATCTCAAATAAATAAAATATTTTTAAAAAACTGACAAATTACCTCAGTCATATATTTTTAGATAATATTCAGCAGTTTGATTAATCTTTTAAAAGATAATATTTTAATTTGTCCATAATTTAACTTTCAAAATATTGATAAATTCATCAAGTTTATCTGATCCTCAATGATAAACACTATGATGCTTGCTTCCTGAAAGCTAACAGACAATTTATCTACATTTCCCTATGTATCCTATAGCTAGATGTAACTCATAAATTCAGAATTGGCCAAGGAGATGTAGGCAAAATAGGCCTTTCTATATCTTTTTTTTTATTTTTATTTTTTTGACAGGCAGAGTTAGACAGTGAGAGAGAGAGAGAGAGAGAGAGAGAGAGAGAGTTAGACAGTGAAAGAGAGACAGAGAGAAAGGTCTTCCTTCCGTTGGTTCACTCCCCTAATGTTCGCTACGGCCGACGCTGTGCCCATCCAAAGCCAGGAGCCGGGTGCTTCCTCCCAGTCTCCCATGTGGGTGCAGGGACCCAAGCACTTGGGCCATCCTTCACTGCCCTCCAGGGCCACAGCAGAGAGCTGGCGTGGAAGAGGAGCAACCAGGACTAGTACCTAGCACTAAAACTGGGACTAGAACCCGGGGTGCTGGCGTCCCAGGCAGAGGATTAGCCAAGTGAGCCATGGCACCAGCCCTCTACATCTGAAGAATATTTTTTTCATTAAAGACAACTTACAAGGCATTGCTTCTCATAGTGTCAGTTTCACTTCTACAGGTTTCCTTTTAGGTGCTCAGTTGGTTGTCACAGATCAGGGAGAACATATGATATTTGTCCTTTTGGGACTGGCTTATTTCTCTCAGCATGATGTTTTCCAGATACCTCCATTTTGT